CAAAATTTCATTGATAATGAAGTATTGTTGTTATTTTTATATTATCAGTTTAAATGACCATACTAATATCAAGGAGGCAGTACGATATGCCGTTAAATCTGTTTTCTTACTATCATTGTTGTAGTAAATCACATCAACCGAAATCTGTTAGCGGATATTTAAAACAGTGTTCATTAATTTCCTGTTAGATTTTCTGTACTGAACGTTTAGATTTTTGCGACATGTTCCAGTTGTGTATGTTGATTATCCTGGAGAACTTTCGCTGAAGCAAATTTATGGTACTTTCAACCGAGCTATGCTTCGCATTATACCTACTCTAAAGTCCTATGCCGACCCACTCACTTCAGCAATGGTTGACTTTTTTTTGATGTCGCAGGTAATGCTTTTCAAAAATAAGTTAGCTGTTGAAATGTATGACTCTGATTCATACTTTTAGGAGAATTTTACGCAAGAGCAGCAGCCTCATTACGTGTACAGTCCTCGCGAACTCACTCGCTGGGTTAGGGGCATCTGTGAAGCTATCAGACCTTTAGAAACGTTGAACGTCGAAGGTCTGGTGCGACTTTGGGCGCATGAAGCGCTGCGTTTGTTTCAAGACAGGTAACTTTTTTGCTTCCATCTGGTTAAAATAATCAAAATTGTCATTATTGTTTTTTTGTTTGTAATGACTAGAATTTGTGATTGTAATGCGGTCTTAATATCTCAGACTAGTTACCGATGAAGAACGCAAATGGACAGATGATCATATCGACTGCATCGCGACAAAGCACTTTCCTAATATTGACACGACAGTGGCACTACAAAGGCCAATTATGTACAGTTGCTGGTTATCGAAGATTTATGTGCCAGTGGAACGAGAGCAACTGCGCGAATACGTCAAGGCAAGACTTCGGGTATGCAAACGGTTGAGAGTATAACTGTTTGTACGAATTTTGTATATTTGGTTGAAGTTTTCTCTAAGCAGTGTTTGTATTTGCAAAGTATCATTCCTTAAAAACAAAACTCAGCTATAATCGTCATTACCGTTTTTGAACTTATTTATGAAACAGTTAGTAAAGAAACACAAAGGAAATAAAGTAATTGCAATCAATCAGTTTATTTGATGCAGTACAGTATGTCAGACTCATCAGGATAATTATCAGACACCATTTATCATTTTATGATTCATTTTATTGCTAATTGTTGACATCAGTCAGGTTATTTGGCTCTGCGTTTAAGCTTCAGTGGACTGCGAAATGCAAGCCGAAACTTCAGTCGCTGTCTTTGTTGTAACCTTGAACGATTTGCATGAGCTTAATGCCTCTGATTCTTAATGTGTCGCGTTCTCGGCTTTTCAACACACTGGTTAGAAGATAGGGGCTCGAGCATCAGGGAATAAACAGTTTTCTCTGAACGTTGACATGTAGTTGCTGACTTTCGTACACCAAGATAGTTCAGTTGACAAATCGTCGGACTCACAATCAAGCAAACCAGAATATGAGCACTGGGCTGGTCACTCGCTTTTGCCAATTCCAAAGTTGATAATTAAGTACCACTTCCTCGGAAAGAAACAGAATTCTACTCCCTTTTGTGGTCATTTAGCTCTGGCTATGGTCATTAGAAACCAGCAGTCAGGCACTTGCTGATTGCGTATAATCGATAATCAGCGCTGCACCATAGCCTCTATGACAGAAGTGTGTCACAAATGCACTCTGTCATCAGATTATAAGAGCGATTGACAGTCCAGTGATTGCCAACTTTCATTTTTCTGTTTATTGTTTTACTAGCACTTACGACATTGCGTAAGGAATACCAAACCCCTGGTATTTGGTAAAGGGCTTCTATCAGAGCTGGGCTGTTTTCTTTAGCGCTCACCCTCGCCGCGGCATATTCTCCGAGATGCGCCGTTGCAGGGTCGTAAGTATCAGAGCTAAAAAACTGCAAATCTAACCGTGATAATCTCATCATTATCATCATCATCAAATTACATTACCGCTTCTCCTTTCGGGTCGCGGAGGCAGATCCTTCAGATATTGCTTCCAACGCTCCCCATAATGTGCCAGAGTCTGGGCGTAAGACAACTGGAGTCTGGTGCAGAATCCTTCATATATTTTCACCATACGGCGTTCGCAAAACTTGCCCAGACTTCTCAAGTCCCACCTGTGACTTCTCAATCTCAAGAAGCAGTGGCTGAACAACCAAGGCTATCACGAATGTTTGTATTCCGGACCATGTCCAGTGGCATAAGGCCAGCGGTTCCTCTCAGAAAGCCCATTTCACCCGCTTTTACCTGGGATCGAAGTTTCTCACTCATGGTCCACGACTCATGACCAAAGGTAGGCTTGGTGATGAATTTCGACTTCAATACCGAGAATTTAGTCTTCAGACTCAGTTCTCCTTTAGTCAAAGTAGTTCGGGTTTGTTCACGCAGAACGCCAGTGACTACTCGAATTCGCCGGTCGATCTCTTCCCCAAATTTTACATCACTAGTAAATAAGATTCTCAGGTACTTGAACTTCTCCACCTGCTCCACTGCTTCTCCGTTAATCTGAAGAGAGCAACGGGCAATAGAACGAGAAAGCATTAGGCTTTTTATTTTAGATGCATTCACACGCATACCGGTCACGTCGCATTCTGCTGCGAACCTTTCTAGGGAGCACTGTAGATATGTATCAGAACATGCCGATAAAACAGGGACGTCTATAAACAGCAACCTCGTGTCCACATCTCCTACACCGATACACTCATATTGGTTGCTCCTGATAATTCTATCGAAGTACAACAAAAACAGGAGAGGGGACAGAACTCCAACGTTGAAAAGCTTACACTCAATGCCATTTCATCTACTGCAGCACCGACAGTCAGCATACAACGACTGGATAGCCTGTTGCAACTGGCAGTCGATCCCATATATTCGTAGGCATGCCCACATACTCTTGTGCGGGATCAAGTCTTAGTTTCTCTAGCTCAACATGGCACATGTACAACGGATGAGCGAACTACCACAATTTCTCAACAATCTGGCGTAGGGAAGATATATGGTAAGAGGTGCTTCGGCCGGTCCATAGCCACACTACTCTTGTATCTTGGAGTCAGTTATTTCACGCCTTTTTTCTAGCACCTTTGCGTAGACTTTTCCCTGAAGGCTCGATATGGTAATGCCCCGATAATTGGAGCACTCCCTGCGGTGTCCCTTCTTGAACAGGGATGCAACAGTGTCCGTGTTCCAGTCCGCTGGTGTCTTCCCTTTAGCCATTGTAGTTTAACAGACACTGTAAGCCAGCTCATGCCTAGATGGTCTTATGATTTCAGTATTTCAGAATGGATTTCATCAATTCCCGCAGCCTTTCCATTTTACAAGCTTTTCACAGCTTACTAATATCCGTACTCTTCAGCGTATAGGCGAGTCTTCCTGCGGTTGCGTGAGGTTAAGGAGTTCCTCAAAGTACTTCCTCCATCGCCGAAGAATGTCATCATCCTTGGTAAGAGGGTGTCCAGATCTGTCC